TCTGCGATTCCCAAATACCATAAATTTAGTTTTATCCAAATTCAGAGATAGTATATTACTGTCACACCATTTCTTTATCTTCTCAAGTTCCTGTGTAACCCGTCCAGAGAGTTGCTGTAGGTTTTCACCCGATGCCCATATGGTAGTGTCATCAGCAAATAAAACCACTTTCACTAAATCAGAAACCTTACATATATCATTGATGTATAATATAAATAATTTAGGTCCCAAAACAGAACCCTGAGGCACTCCACATACAATATCCAGCTCACTCGATTGGTATTCACCCAACTTCACAAATTGACGCCTCTGTGTCAAATAACTTCTAATCCAATTCAAAACCATTCCTCTGATCCCATATTTTTCTAACTTGTCCATTAATAACTCATGATTGATTGTGCCAAATGCTTTTTTTAGGTCAATAAATATTCCCATCGTGTATTTCCTCTCATCCATAGCACTTGTTATGTCCTCCATCAGGTCGGTAATGGCCTGGGATGTCCCACCCATCGAATACTGCATGCAGGTTCAGCTAATATGTTATAAATCTTGTGTGCGAGTGTTATTAATTCACTTTTCACATAATTTTCTAAATTTTCCAGAATTTATGTCATTTGCCCTTCTGTTGTTCTAATTTCAACAGGCAAGTGCCGAGGCTCTCCATCACACTCTGCAGATAGTCTCAGCTCTTCATGACATTATTTATTACCTGGTTAGTTTCTCCAGACTGGGAAACGCAGACAACTCCTGTAGCTGCATAGGACGGGGGGCACCGGACTCGCATCTTACAGCTGACTGGGGAGGCAGTGAAGGCATTGGTAGGTAGATCTCAGAGACACTGCCTAGATACTAATATTGTTTACGACCCATTGTATCTATTCAGTGGCAGGAAAGATGAGGGATACATTTGTCCTTAATTTCACTTTGTCCACAAATTCATGTTGCCCTTGACATTTATTGAACCCCAGGTGTATATATTGGCCTTGGTGATGTAGTCTGATTTTGCTTTAAATAAAAAAAGTTCAAATAAAGTTTAAAAATGTTTTATTGTCAGAAAAGAACATTTTCCTAATCGCAGCAAGACAACTGATCAGGCAATAATGTATAATAAATGATATAAATAAATAAAGCCTTTATCTAGACAGTCATTCACTGGAATCCATTACCTTTCTGTCTCCTCTCTGGTTGTTATGCAGGAGCAGAGCTGCTGAAGATCCAGCATCAGGTCGACCGACTGTCTAATCCCAGCAGCCCGGAGTTTGTTGGCCGTCTGCTGCAGCTGCGCAGGCAGGTTCTCCTCCTGCAGTTTGATACTGCTGTCAGGCACCTCATCAGGTCCGTGTCTCTGCATAGCATCCTGCTTTAAGTTACCTTTGTTATGCTGGTCCATCTCCCGTCTGTCTTTGCAGATCAGCTTTATACATTCTGTACAGGTCTTTATTTTTAAGTGCTCTATATTTATTCCTATCATTTCAATGAGCATTCCTCTGTCTGTCTGCATTGTTTACTGCCTGTTTATACAGCTTATTTTGCATTGTTTGGACTGTTTGCTGCTTGTTAATACTGCAGATTTTGTTATTACACAGCCTTATGTTGGTTTACTGTTTACTTGCCCCTTGCATGGGGATATGTACATGCACATTGAGAACCGATGTACCAGAGTAAAATTCCTCGTGTGTCCAAGACACCTGATATTGCATAAAATTTTAGACTGTTAGGGTGCCCGCTGTGCTGGGCCCAGGGTAAAGGTGGCAGCCATGAACTGCACATAAGCAATAATTTTATAAAATATCGTGGACTTTCTTCCTGTCATGTTTTTCTTGTGGTAGGGAGGCGTTCCTCTCTTCTGGTGATGCTGCTGCTTTTCAGAGTGTGAGTGACAACATGGCGACTGCTCTCCCTCTGCTCAGTGACAGTATTCAGACTGATGTGTTCAGTCTCACACTGCCTGTTCCTCAGCCTCTAGAGGCTCAAAGCTGTCAGGTTGGTTTAGTTTGGATCTCGGTGGAAAACATTATCACGTAAAACTACATTTGAAGATGGAAGTGGGGTGTATCTCATGCTGTCTTCATCTCCAGGCACAGATGATGTATCCATGGAGGAGTTTTATAGGCTGCCATGGACTGCTCCCTCTGCATGTCTGGGATGTCCCACCCATCGAATACTGCATGCAGGTTCAGCTAATATGTTATCTTTTATTTGTCACACTTTTCTGCTAATGTTGTGGCCTAACAGTTAGATGCAGTCGGTTTCTCCATAGACCACACTGCCATTCTTAAGGCTCTCTTTACATTTAAGACAACACAATTTTGTATACAAGATATCTTCTGTAAATTGATATTATTAATGTATTACTTGCTGAACACACTCAAAACCTTGAGACATAATCGCCTTTCAGTTCTATGCCACCTTCAGGATCATTTTTTACATTTTAAACCCCACTACGGCCAAAGCTATAAGAACAGCAAATTATCTGTGGGTTCATATCTTGTATTATGAGATGCAAGAATGATTACAGGCTCTGTGATGTGATTTAAAAAAAAACCATTTTATTACATTCTTCTTTGTCTCGGTTTGGTTAAACTTCAAAATAGGGGTTACAGTAGACACAGCCCAATATTTTAAGCAGGTTGAGGAGAGAAAGAACATCTCTTACTAAACATATAACACGTACATCTTTTAACACTGTAATAAAAAGGAGTGTTTGTCTGCAGCTGTGTCTAAGTGGCCTGAGTGATCGCAGCAGACTGCAGGCCAACGCAGCAATCCTCGGTGTGTCGCTTCTCATGGAGGATGTCCTGAACAGTGGGAGAGAGGCAGAGCCTGTTCGTCTCCATGGCAACAAAGATGACCTTCTGCATGATGGGAAACCTAATGAAGTAAAAGGCTTTTTTATTAGTTATCAAAAAGCTCTCTTAAGTAGGTAGAAGAAACAGCTTGGATTTTCTAGTGAATAATTGATTAAATGAAGCTAGTGGGTTTATTTATGGCTATAATCAGGCACAAATCTGCGATAGGATGTTATGTAAATTGTTATGTCTGAATACCAGGGAGATAAAAGTTGCTCGGAAGCTGAAAAAGAAGAGAAGACAACTTGTGTGTCAAGCTCCAACCCACCTCCTCAGGATCCAGTTCAAGTCCAGTCTGTGCTGAAAGGTTTCCTCCTGCTGATGAAGCAGCTTCAGGTCTTCAAGGAGAGTTGGGCTCGAAGACGTTTGGGTGTGGAGGTGTCCTGCACGCCCAGTCTGTATCAGCAGACTGTGAAACTTTACAGGTGAGAAGCTCAGAAACAGAGGATTTATTACTTTCAGACAACTGTAAATACATTTGCATGGCTTTTGTCAATAAATTTAACATATCAACCAGATGTTTTTATCCATAGGCAACACAGTATACTGAAGATAAACCCACAAAGCCATTTTTGTTCTGTTAGATACAAGAATGATTACAGGCTCTGATGTGATTTAAAAAAAACAACATTTTATTACATTCTTCTTTGTCTCAGTTTGGTTAAACTTCAAAATAGGGGTTACAGTAGACACAGCCCAATATTTTAAGCAGGTTGAGGAGAGAAAGAACATCTCTTACTAAACATATAACACGTACATCTTTTAACACTGTAATAAAAAGGAGTGTTTGTCTGCAGCTGTGTCTAAGTGGCCTGAGTGATCGCAGCAGACTGCAGGCCAACGCAGCAATCCTCGGTGTGTCGCTTCTCATGGAGGATGTCCTGAACAGTGGGAGAGAGGCAGAGCCTGTTCGTCTCCATGGCAACAAAGATGACCTTCTGCATGATGGGAAACCTAATGAAGTAAAAGGCTTTTTTATTAGTTATCAAAAAGCTCTCTTAAGTAGGTAGAAGAAACAGCTTGGATTTTCTAGTGAATAATTGATTAAATGAAGCTAGTGGGTTTATTTATGGCTATAATCAGGCACAAATCTGCGATAGGATGTTATGTAAATTGTTATGTCTGAATACCAGGGAGATAAAAGTTGCTCGGAAGCTGAAAAAGAAGAGAAGACAACTTGTGTGTCAAGCTCCAACCCACCTCCTCAGGATCCAGTTCAAGTCCAGTCTGTGCTGAAAGGTTTCCTCCTGCTGATGAAGCAGCTTCAGGTCTTCAAGGAGAGTTGGGCTCGAAGACGTTTGGGTGTGGAGGTGTCCTGCACGCCCAGTCTGTATCAGCAGACTGTGAAACTTTACAGGTGAGAAGCTCAGAAACAGAGGATTTATTACTTTCAGACAACTGTAAATACATTTGCATGGCTTTTGTCAATAAATTTAACATATCAACCAGATGTTTTTATCCATAGGCAACACAGTATACTGAAGATAAACCCACAAAGCCATTTTTGTTCTGTTATTTATTCATTTCAGAAAACATTTGTCCAGGAAACACGGAATCCTGAAAACAGAACAGTTTAACAGAACAATTTCACCACCAGGTCCAATTAGTAGCTGTTCTAGTAGCTCTATTGTTTTGTGAGTGACCTACTTTACAATGTGATCTACAGAAATTGTGAAGAAAAAAATAAAATCAGAAAACATTTTAAAATCCATGATATCTGAGCACACTCCTTCTACTGAAGAAGACCATGTGTTATGATCAAAAGCTCCAGAACAGCTGCTGAAAAGACCTTGTGGTAAGAAGTTTTTTTTTTTTCCCCAACTGCTCTTTTTGTGATCAAGAGTGAACTTTGAATCTCAAGTTCAATTCTACTATTGTTTTACCATGTGGTGGCTAAAATCCTTTTGTAAGACCAGTTTTTAAATTCCACACTGGTTGTTTTTGTGACAGGGATGAAATCTTTTACCCCAGTATGAAATCTCTGGCGCAACAAATGGGTAAGGAGCGTGACTATGAGATCTTAGTTTATGGCACACAGTCTCTCCTGCCCCCTCCTGGAGCTGCAGAGGTTGATGTGAAAACCTGGCAGGTACAGACATAAATACAGTATTAGCTGTACAGTTATGGCTTTGCATCTTATAGAAGTAACCTTGTAAAATATTTTTGTCTCAGCTTCACAAATTGCTGGAGAGCACTGAGTGTGACATGATCAGAATGGTACAAAGGAGGATCAACAGAGAGTTGACGCTGGTGGTTTCTGAGCGAACACGACAAGACACGCACCTCCCCACAGGTACCCAAAATCCACAGAATATACTTAGCTTTAAGCAGTAGTTTAACACTGAAGTAAAAACTATAGAATTAAGGTGGCAATAAAAACATGTTGTCTCTGGTTAGAGCTGTGGAAGAAAGTCCCTCTGAAGTACAGTCTGTCCCCAGAGCGGCCGCAGATTGTGGAGACATTCATACAGCAACTGATGGACGGAGTCGAAGAAGCTGAGGGACAGGTAGAGAAGATATCTAACGACGCATGGTGACGACATTATTGTCTTTCTGCAAATAGCTTATACTCTCAGGATGTATTTTAAATGTATAAATAGCAACTATTCAGATTAGATATTCCTAGAAAATATACCGTATACATTTTTACCTGTGGGAATACATTAAAGTGCAAGTGTGGAACCTAAAGTTACATGTACAGTAGAAGTTTTAGTAACCAGAGTATGTGCTATATTACACATCTACTGTGACCTTCTCTTACAACATCAGGCTAAGACACTGCATTACTGCTGTCTTGCTGTTCAGATGAACAGACGTTTACATGCTGAGTAATAATATTCCTGAATGTTTCTACTTTCAGCTGAGGGTCTCTCAGGGGCATCTCCAGCAGTGTCTCACTCACCTTGGCTCTTCTCTGATGGAGCGAGAGTGTTGCTGCTTCCTGCTTTACTCGCAGTTTTATGAACGAATCCTGCAGCAGGAGACTCAGCTCCTCTACCAGAGAGAACAGGTACATGTATTAGATTGTCACCTCAACAGGCAACCCAGCAGTACATGTTATTGGCAGTTTATGTACAACAAGGTTCAGTGCTGCCACAATCAGATTTAATTTGCTGCACAGGATTTGGGCCTATTTGTACCAGTTATTGATATCTAGAGCAGCTTACACAACTATTTAAATACATTTATTGTTCACACTTAAAATATGACTGTACTGTTGTATGATTTTATTTTGTGGTTATGCTCTTTATTTTCCAACCTTAGGATTTAAAGAATCTTAAGGACTCTCAGACACACAGCTCCCACATAGAGGAGGTAATCTGAAGCTTTCACACACTGTGCGTACGGTATCGCCACATTCCTTGAGTTCCTTAAAACAAACCATTACTGTTGTTATTGTTCCACAGGTGTCTGTTTTATGTCGTGGGATGATGTTGGAGATCTCAGCACTGCAGGCTCAGGTTGCTCACCTGGAAGAAGAAAGGACTTCTCTAGAAGAACAGTTCAGTCTGAAATTTAAAGAACGTTACGACCTTTTAGTGCGACAACTCTTCTCCACCTGCATTCAGCTAAAGGTGAGAAATGTGACTGGAACTTGTGTGTTTGAAGGCCTCTCTTCCAAAATGGTACAGATGTAGAGCAACATTTTCTTTGAGCCCTTGGTCCAGCATATAGCCATCTGTCCAGTTGGGAAGAGGTGCTTTCTGTTTTTTAGTTTGACATTTCACATGACTGAAAGAGTTCAGCATCAATATAAAATGTTAATAGTGTAAACTATACTTTTGTTTAATGGAGGTTCTGTATAATGTGGCCTTGTGTTGAAAGTTTCAATTCTAAACATTCATTTTCTCCACTCTTACATTTGTTGTGAGTTGCAGTGTTTGAATTTCCTTTTCTTTTTTTTTTAACCTTATTCCTTCCATGAGCCACTAAAAACTTTTATTTGCCCTCGCTGTCTGTATCTCAGGCCAGACTTGATGAGTACCACCGGCAGATGGAACGGGATGTGAGTGAGATTGTGAACAGAACAAGAGAGGAGGGAGTGGACAGGATTATCAAGCTCAAGAAGAAATACGGCTGCACAAAAGACGACAACAGCCTTGCACTCACACGCTTAAAGGTACAGTAAACAATTTGTATTTCAAACAAATAAAAGGTAATCAAAAGAGCATTTCTAAAAACACTCCACCTGTTTATTAGAATGAAGTCGTCCATGAGTTGTCCCAGGAGAATAGCTGGCTGACCGCACTGCTCTGTAAACTCAAGGCTTGGAATCGATGGAGACTGGTGGTCGAGCAGGAGAAGCTTCACCACCAGCTGCTTCAGGCTCAGCAGGTCAGTAGCAGGATGAAGAAATATTCCGTATTCAGAAATCTGATTCCTCCCCTGCAGGAAGGCCACGAGTGCAGGGGACCCAAATATACTTGGGTCTGTCTATTTGGAAAAAGGAAACGTTGTCTGCATTTTGAGTTTACCCTCTAATTCAGCTAGTTTTATTGTGCTAAATCTGACAATTCAAAAGTAAAATTTAATACATATATATAAATAAAACAAGTTTTAAAACAAGTTTTCTATTTACTTTTGCAATTAGTTGAAAAATTTGTCTATGCAAATTCTGTCATCCAGCTCATAGTAAGCTGGAAAAACGTAGAAAAAACATCTGTAATTGCTTTTACATAGAAGACGTTTCATCAGTTCTGTCCAACTGGTGTTGAGCAGGAGATATTTATCCCTGAGTGGTGTTTCAGTCCTTCCACAGCCAACAATGTCCCCTAATGGCTGAGTCGTTATAGCCCGGTATCGGTGAGCGTCGTTACCTGTCTTTGAATCCTCACATGTGGACCGACACCTTTTGTCCTGGTGGGAATGTTTGGGCTGAGATCGATTTCTACAACTCCGTTTTGAAATCTCTTCCCAAACATTCCCCCCCTAATTCCCACCAGGACAATAGGCGTCGGTCCACATGTGAGGGTTCAAAGACAGGTAACGACACCTCACCGATGCCGGGCTATAACGCCTCAGTTGATGGGGGACAATGCTGGCCATTGAAGGACTGAAACACCATATCTCCTGCTCAATACCAGTAGGACAGAAGCGAAGCACACGTTTTATATTTACCCTCACATCCACTTATAAATTAATTTAAGCATGAATTTGTGTAGTCTGACCACTTATTCTACAGTCGCTAATTTATCATAAGTGTTCAAATACTGTTACAGTGATACAACATTCTGTTTTGCCCAGAGGGAGATCACCAGCCGCACCGAGGCACTCAGGGTGAAGATGATAGCAGAGGAGGAAGTGCTGTTCCTACAGGAGGAGTTGGACGTCGCCCGGCAGGTGTTGACCCGCTGTCAGGCCGAGTGCAGCAGCACCAAGAAGAAAAAGAAGGTACTACACTCCACTGCTGCCACACATCCCTGCTGTCCAAACATTAAGCTTGTGTAGCACAACAGTGATAACTCAGTTAGTCCAAGTTAAAAAATGTAGCAAAAATCATAATAATTTTGGGTAATACTTTATTTTAGTGGTCCTACATCTTCCAGCTCATTTTCTGGAAACAGCAAACTAAGCATAGCTTTAGACTCACTGTTTTTTTTATTTTTTTTTTTTAAACTGATTTACTTAGTGATCAGAGATCAGCGGCCAATGTCGTCAAACACAGACGCTAAGTCTGAAGCTGCCTAGTGTGGCCTGGACATTTAACTAAACACCCTCTGATACCTGCTCACAGACAGAGGAGCTCCAGGTGGCCAGGCATCAGTCTGCACAGGAGGCCCGCAGCAGGCAGGAGCTGGACACTTACCGGGTGCAGAGCCTGGAACAAATGAGAGCCGACATGGAGGACAGAGAGAGGCAACTCCAAGTGCTCAGCGAGCAGCTGGACCGAGGCAGCAGGATGAACCAGCTAGAGAGGCAACGCAGTGCCAGAGAGATCCGACAGGTCTGTAGGAGATGGCACTGAAGATCTCTGCCCTATGAAAATGTTATCTGCTTCCAAAATTAATGCCTTTGATGAGCTAAGCATAAAAGACCCCTATACTTTAAGTTTCATTGCATGCTTTAAAGAAACAAGACTAAGCGTGTAGAGCCATGCGAGCAGCTCTGTGAGGCTGCACTTAGTGGTGGTTTGAGCTAAATTCAGCACGCTGATGGTTAACAGGTCATAATCATGTTTAATTGGTCATAAATCAAACAGAAATTTGGACCTGATGTTGGTCCTAGAGGAAGAGTCAGGGGATATTAAGGTCATTGGAATTCAGTCTCGACCAGCCCATGCTTCCATCCACAGAGACATGCTGCTCATGGAAAAAAACTAAACCTGAAGGTCAAATAATAACAAGATACTTCTGACTTTGTTTTCCTTTCACTGTATCCAGGTGAGGGGCCGGCTGCATCAGGAGCACTGCCTCAAACAAGAGGCCTTTCAGCAAGTGGATAAGCTGAAGAACCAGGTGAACAACATGGAAGCAGCTCTCTCCACATGCACTTCTACAACAGGTACAGGCCTTCCACACATCAGCTGGAACAAAGAGAGAGCGTCTCTTTGGATATGGGACAATTTTCCAGACCGACAGTTCACTCCCAGTCGTCCCTGCACTTGTTCTGTCGCAGGTCAAATCAGGAGTCATTACACGCAGTCAGTCAGCAGATGGAGCAGTCCCTCAGCAGGTATGGTACCCACCACAGGATCTTCACTGTACCTCCATCTCAGTGCAGTGGGGTGATCACCTGTACAGAATCATATTGTGAGTTACACCTTGCTGTGTAGATATTCATGTGGTTCAGGAGTAACATCAGAGGCATCAGATTGTCCCAGACATTTTAAATTCTGTGATTGTATTTTTGCCTGCAGTGACCCTGTTCTGTTTTGTCTCAGGTCGACTCGTGGCCGGGCCTGGCAGGTTCACAGACCGCACCTCACGTCAAGAGTCTGCTATGGAGCTAAGACACCGGAGAGCAGAAACAGCCAGGAGCCGTTCAAGCACAAGAATAGACAGACCCAAGGCAGTGAGTGAGAAACAGACCGTACAGCATTGAACTGTGTACATTAACAAGAGTAGCTACTGTTTAGGATTTTAATTATTGTAATATTTTGATATGCTAAAATAGTTTATAAGCATATGACTGTTTTCCTCTTTTTGTTGGTACTCGGGCCATTCCCGGTACTAACGTAACAAAACAATATCACTTAGGTCCATTTAGTAGCTGCGGTTGGAACACTGTAGAACTTGGCTGAAAATCAGATTTTAATGAATTCTTTAGTATCAAAGAAATTCAGTGCTAGTTGTCAGTACATCCAGTAGTGCAATAATGATTACTTGTGTGAACAGATATTGGGTGTACTGTCAGAATTACATAGATACTGACAACCCAGTGTTTCTCCAGCAGGTCCTGAAGCTTTCTAACTCCTGCTCAGTACATGAATATAGTGAGTTACACTGCAGGCAGCAACTCTGAGACCCATTTATAGCTTAAGTTTTGTGATGCGCTATTCGATGTGCTGACAGCTGTCACTGAATTACACTGATACTAAAGAATTTGTTAAAACCTGACAAGTTCTGCAGCGTTCCAACCCTTGACTTATCTTGTACTTGCAAGAATAAGATCCTGTAATTATGAGAAAGTAAGTCAAAACTAATTTTTTTTTCCCTTTGGTGAATGCAGTGTGTGTGTGTATATATATATATATATACACACACATATACAGGCACACTAAAATCAGCCTTTGTTTCTCTTTCAGGGTCCGTCTCGCCTGCGTGTCTTCACTGCAGAGAAGTTACCAGACATGTGAGATGCAGTCGCAGCTCAAACAAACAGCACTAAATTACTTCTGAGAACTTTATAAAAAGTCAGAGACCTGTGCTGATGTTGATTCTCTAGAGTTACTGTTTGTGTTAACAGTTGACCATGAAGGTTTTCATAACAAAATCCACCAATAGAGACGGAGCGCAATGCGTCACACTCTGAAAACCACACCCACTGGGGGAAAACAATTCCTCGCTCTACATTGATTTTATTTATTTTTTTACCAAAAAAAAGAAAAATGCCTGAAAGCAGCTGTGTGGTAGGATGCACTTACCAACAAGGCAAAGAACCCAGATTAAAAGCTGCTGAGCAAAAACCCCAAGGCTTTAAGATGACAAAAGCAGATAAGAGGTGAGGCAGTAGCAGGAAAAATGGGGAAACAGGGATCCTGAGACGTCTGTGAGTGTATTTGCTGTTGCTAACTTAGCTGACACTTTGCATGAGGGAGGAAAATTTGCATGACAATTTTTCCAAAATAGAGCGAAGCTGTGGTGCAGCTTGACTGTTATCAGCAAGCTACTGTAGTTAGCTAAGGCACAATGTTCCTGCATAGCTGTCTGATTCATAAAACACTCCCTGCACACAGACACATTTGAGTTTCAGGATCCCAGTGTTCCAGTTCTTCTACTAATGCCTTATTCTTCTCTTTTTAAAGGTTCAGGGTTTTTTGCTCAGCAGCTTTTAGGCGTTTTTCCCCTGTTGTGGGCATGGCCTAAATGTGCTCCATCTCTATCATAAACTTTAGACACACGTCTTTGCTTTAAAACAAATGCAGTACCTTTACTCTGCTCTGTTCCAGGTTTGTCTCATTTGACAACTTCTCTGCAATGAAAATAAAACCTTGTCTTCAGTCTAAAAATTGCATTTTCTTTTTACTGCTGACCACTTAGAGAAGCCTGCCATAGTTGAATGCATTTCTACCAAGTTTCAGGTCACCGGTGCTTGAATCCTGCATGAAACAGTAAAATCATTCCGGTGAAAATGCTATTAAATTACTGATGCCAAGAGTCGTCTGCAGTGTTAATTATTAGCTGAGTGCAGATTGGTAGTAGCGCACGTCCTTGGCCGAAAAGTAAATCACAGAATGGAAAAGCCAAATGCAGTTTTACTGTTAAATAACGCAATCCCTAAAAATGTTTATGTAACAACAATCTCAGTATCAGTCAGGCTCTACTGCATATTTTTCTTCCAATCACATTGACTTAAACCGTGCACACAAGGTGTCACGAAAAGGTAGAAAGACGCATTCAAAGTGTAAAATATGGCGTACTTTGGAAAACAGTCAGCAGAAAATAATTAAGTGTTCTTACCTGACGGCGGTTGTACTGTCGAGCCAAGTGTGGGGGGAACTGTAGCTGGGTTCTCGGCATCAGGTTTGTGTCCCACTCAGCTCTCTGGGGACAGCCCGGTGGTGTACAGGTAGGAGACGGTTCCTGCCTGGATCTGAAACGTCTGTCCCTGGATGTGGTGGCTGGAGATCTGCTCACTGGGCTGGCTGATAGAGATGGGCTGGCCGCTCTGGCTGCTGATGTGGATGCCCTGGCTGTGTTGCTCCCTGCCCACCTGAGCTTCCAGTGTCTCCTGAGCGGCAGCCATCATCTGACAGGGCTGTGAAGGACCGTGTTGGGCCTGTAGGTGATCGATCGCCTGTTTACTCAGAGTGATGACGTGCATCTGCTCAGGCTGGTGTGAAATCTGTCCCTCCAGCATGCTGATCTGAATCGGAGGGGTCTGGTCCACCACGTCAGCCTGAGCGAGCAGTGCGAGTCTGGAGTGGGCTGATTCTGACGTGTGCCCCTCTGCGGTGATTATGCCAATGCCCTGCTCTTGACCCGGCACGAAATTAATGTTGTTCACATCTCCTGTCACCACCAGCTGGATCTCCTGCTCCGAGCCTGAGGCCAGCTGGTACTGCTGCAGCTGCAGGATGTTACGCACCTCCTCCGGTGATGCTGGGGCCTCTGCTTCTACTGCCTCAGGCGAGGCAGCTCTCTCCTTGTCGTGCGATTTGGTGTGTGTTTTCAGATTGTCCAGACGGGTGAAGGAAAGGCTGCAGAAAGAGCAAATGAAGGGTTTCTTCCCAGAGTGGGAGGCGACGTGTCGTCTTCTTGCACTAGGGTCTGAAAAAGACTTGCTGCAGATGCTGCAGTGAAATGGCTTCTCACCTCTGCAAAAGGAGAAATATATATCACTGAATGTATTTGGTATATAACAGGCTGAAGTGATTAAAGATGAACAGAGACCTTGGCTGATTCCGATATGATTTGATGATTCCAAGCCTTGCTCAAGTGCACATGACATGCTACGCTTTTGGTCTGTGCCACTGCGTGTGGGACGTGCACTGTCATGCGTCTAAATCTGATTGGCACAGAATCTGAAATCAGAGTGACCGTCCATTCGCTGGTCAAAGCTGATCACACTGAAAACTGACCATTTCTGATCTCTGCCAGTCGATTGAGTCTCTAATCACATCACAAATATACAATAGAATACAACTCCAAAAAACAACACAGCTGTCTATGTCAAAACAGACGTGGGACAAAGATGATTGGCATTATCTATGAGAAAGTCAGGCTAAGACACCAAGCTTTACAGTGACTTCTATAGGAAAACAAAATATGTGACTCCAAAATTGAAATCTATTCCAAGGGATCGTGACGGATAAATTGAAATTAGAGGCAGTGTTGACAGGGGCTGCTAAAGAAATAAAGTTTTGTAACAGAATTTGCTCTTGTCTCATTCCTGGGCAAAAACCCAGACAAACTGAAGGCTCAGGAGGAAAGGGACCACTGTAAAGTATTTTTGGCTGCAAGCAAGAATGCCATCACTCAGAAAGGACTGCAACCAAACATCTAACAAAGGATGACAGGGCTGCAGTTGTCAAGAAACTGCATAGAGAAAACAGCCTTTAACTTAAACCTGTAATATGATCAATATGTTAAATACTGGAGGAAAAAAAAAATGGACCTCATACTTTGTCCTCTATGTGTCTATAAGACCTCATTCCATTCAAAGACAATTCGTTTGAATGGAACTGTTTAGGTCAGAGGGGGGCAGCAAACACAAGCTGCACACACAACACTGACCTCTTACATACCTGACCTGATACAATTAATTTCAATTTGCTTATGTTCAGCCTGATACAATTAATTTCAATTTGCTTAATTTTACATCCAGTAGATATGAACATTACAGTTTTTCCTCTGTATGCAACTCGCATACATAAGTGCACAAACCTTGCAATGATATTTAAAGTATCTGTCTCACCTGTGGATTCTGATGTGAGTCTGCAGCGTGCTCTTAGCTGTGAAACACTTTCCACAAATCTCACATGTGAAAGGCTTCTCACCTGTAAAGATATTAAAACACACAGTAATGTCAGCTTTGTGATGCAATGGAACTAGTTTTAATGGCACAGAAGTGATTTGCAGGTCTGTTGAAAGCAGAGGCTTCACCTGTGTGAGTTCTCAGGTGCTTTTTCAGCTGAGCCGTGTCCAAAAACGTGTGATGACACTGAGCACATTCTGGTAACAGTTTACCTAGAGAGAGAGAGAAAAGGAAAGAAAGAACACACTTTTCAGCCTTTAAAACAACGGTGTAGTTTTGCATAAGGACGGTAGGGACATACCAATATTTGAGCAAAGCCATGCACGGTATCTTTGATTCACCCGCTGCTGTTTCTCACCTGTATGAACTCTGTAATGGCTTCTCAGCTGCCTTTTCTGAGTGAACATCTTTCCACATTTATCACAGTCAAAGGATTTCTCCTCTGTGGAGGCAAGTAAAATAAAAAATAAAATACACTGTGGTGTATCCTAAGAGAACAAGAGTGACAGACTATGGAAGTTAATGCTTAATGGCAATATATAGCACCAATATTAATTTTTCCATTGTAGTTTTCTAAAGAGATGCACACCAACTACACTAAATCAGTTTTCATTTTAGCGTGTTAAAATGCAAATTTAAAATACAGATGGATGGATGGATACATTATTGGTAGGAAAAGGGGTAATCATCGGAAAATAATATACACAGTCACTAATTTGACCAGGCCCTACCTTCATGCAGGTTCATGTGCTCTTGCAGCGAGTGTTTGGTGCAGAGAGCTTTGGAGCAGACAGGACAAACAAACGGCTTCTCTCCAGTGTGAATGCGCTGGTGAACCAGAAGAGTGTGCTTCTGGGTAAAACACTTCCCACAGTCCGAGCACCGGAAAGGCTTCTCTCCTGGGGGAAACGAACACATGAAGGTTCAGCGAGGTGGTGTGGTAATTAAACCCTCATCAGTGGTAACCAAGCACGTGTGCCATTTTTCCAACCATCTACAGTTTAACAGGTTAAATACATTTACAACCAAGAGGGTGCAGGACTGCAGCCATCCGCTGTCATTCACCAGGCTGCACCACAGAAGCGTTTCCAGTCGAAGACATCTTTCTTATGGGAACCTCTGCAGTATGTGATTAATGGATTAAGGAGAAGTTCAGATTTATTAGGACTATTCAGGAACAACCACCAAATCTATATAAGAAGTAAACTAGAATCATTCTTTCTCATGCTCTGGGACTCCAACATCCCCTCCGACCTCTAGAGCATCTGTTAAGTCATAATTCATGTGGATCATTACCTGTATGAGTCCTTTGGTGAATTGTTAGAAAGAGGTGGTTTTTAAACACTTTGCCGCAGTCCTCACACCAGGCCTCCGTGTTGGGATATGTCCTCCTCCTGCCTCTCTTTCCAGGTTCTTTGCCTCCTGCTGTGTCACTCTCCACCTTATAACTCTTGTATTTCATTGGAGGCCTGATTTGGCGCTTGCTCTGGCGGCTCCGGTGCGCTCCTAGGAAGTAGTCTGCATCATCTTTGGACTGTGACTCTGTTTCTGCACGATCACTGTCCACATCTGTTACCACATCTGAGTTCTCTACCCCCGGCTCTATTACACACACGTCCATCTTTTTCTTCGGCCGCCCTCTTTTGCGTTTCAATGCATGTGGCACCTCGGCTTTATCTGCCTTTACCTCATCACCTGTAACCCCTGCAGCAGAGCCTGAGAGTTCAGTGAGCACTCTGACAAGCTCAGCAACCTCCATAAGATGAGCTGTGGCCAGGAGAGGCTCTGTGGCGCTCATCTCCACAGACACCTGGGCGCTGTAGATGAAGTCCAGCATGGCAGAAAACATGTCCGCTGCCATTCCTTCCAGTCTGTAGGTAGACTTGCTAATGTGATCTTCTGACGTGAACATGAGGGAGAAATACTTGCTGCTTGCTGCCAGCAGGGCTTTGTGTGCCTTGAAGTGCACGTCTTCCACAACAAAAGTGACATCACACAGCAGGTCCATTTTCCTGAGCTTGTCAAATTCGCTAAGAATGCTCTGCTTATGTGAATCTGAATGAAGGGACACGAAAGATGAAGTCCTGGCAGGTACCTTCTGAGACATTTTCCTCTCCAAACAATCGTGTTCCTAAGGCAAAGAAACTATGTGTAAGTCAGGACAATTCAGGGTGGAACCAGAAAATATTCATCTTAAAAAATGACACAAAAAAACTGATCATCAAAATAGTTGCCAAATATTATATATTCAGCCTACTACCCTCAGGGACTGCTTCACTAATCACTGCAGCTTTGCATTTAAAAGTTTTGTTGAGGAAACATTAAATTAATCATTTACTACTGAAATGAACAATTATTAATCTAGTCCAGTGCTGCAACAACAATTCATCTGTTAGTTGATCGACAGGATATATATATATATATATATTTTTTTTATAATCAATTACGATTATAAGCTGAGTGGGGAAAAACATTTCAGTGAGGAATGTGCAGTGTGAGCTGGCACAAATCAAATGCACAGTAACAGCGTGCGCTGTGGTTAACTGACAGGAGAAGCTTGAACTTAAACTAGGCTATAAACATGTCTCAGAGGAAATAAACTACCTATAGGAGCAGATTCAACAGGAACACAAGTTGTCTTATTCTGACAAATCCATATATCAGACTAACATTATATACCCTCAATTTAAATAGGTCACCATTTAAATATCGCATCATATTCAACTGTCTTTTATGGATTTTTAAATGCTCAGAAAAATGTTCCTGACATTCTTCTGGACAGAGATCTCAGATGTTGCTCCTGGGATCGGGGCCATCTTCCTGATGTATTCATGGGTTTATGTTGTTTCATCCTGGATAGTGGCTCTGACACGCACTAATCCTCGGCCTCCTTCCTTCCACTTACTGTACAGTCTCAGGATGCTGGACTTAGGGTGAAACCCACTGTGCATTGTAAGGAGCTTCCTTGTCTTGATGTCAGTGGCATGCTTTCCTTGCGGCCTCTTCATGGTTCCCATTTGCCTGCGGGATCCCAAAGTACTTGTAGTTGTCCCAAACATCTGCTATGTTGCCTTCTGGTAGTACAATCCCCTCAGTTCTGACTACCTTCCCTCTCCTTGTTACCATTCGGCCACACTTATCCAGTCCCTCATACAGATTATAGAGACTAGTTCTTAAGCACTCTCTTTTATCCCTATTTATCTCATTTCAATGAACATTCCTCTGTTGTCTGCATTATTTACGGTCTGTTTATACTGCTTTTTCTGCATTGTTTGCACAGTTTGCTGATGTTAATACTGCTATTTTGTTATATTACACGGCCTTATGCTGGTTTACTGTTTTGTACATTGAGAGCCGATGTACCTGAGTCAAATTCCTCGTGTGTCCGTCACACCTGGCCAATAAAGCTGATTCTGATTCCAGGATCCATGTGTGAGGCATTGAGTCATAGGCTTTCTTGTAGTCAATCCAGGCAGTGCACAGGCTGGTTTGCCTGGTCTTGCAGTCTCGGGTGACTACTTTATAAACCAGTAGCTGGTGCTTTGCTCCACTGGTTTCTACTGGTGTTCCTTTCTGGGCGCTGCTCATGTATTGAGCCATGTGCCTCCTCATCTTAGCTGCTATGATGCCTGACAGGAGCTTCCATGTTGTGCAGAGGCAGGTTATTGGGCGGGAGTTGGATGGTAGTGCTCCCTTCTGAGGGTCCTTCAGCATCAGGACTGTCCGGACTTTATTTAACCACTCAGGGCAGGTTCATTTGTTCCGCCAGGCGCTCATGGAGTGAAGTTAGCTTCTTTAACAAGTAGGCGTGGATCATGCAGGGCCTGGTGCTGTCCAGCTCTTCATACTTGAGACCCTCTCTTGAATGTCTGCCATTGTGATAATTACTGGGTCTTGTGCAGAGAGGTTGCTGTGGTCTGTTCTCAGGTCCACCAGCCACTGGGCATTGTTGTTGTGCGATGCCTCATTCTCCCATATGCTTTTCCAGAATTGTTTAGTCTCCAGCCTTGGTGGGTCTGCTCTCATGTTATTACCCTGCCACTGAGAGTACACCTTGGATGGCTCAGTGGAGAACATTCTGTTTACTCTCCTGGCTTCAACTTCTCTGTTGTGCCTCTTCAACCAGGTGGCCAGGGCTGCGAGCCTTTGCTTGGCAGTCTCTAAGGCCTCAGGCATGGACAGTGAGTTGTACTTCTTAGGTACCCCTTTCTTCATCACGCCTTTCTGCAATTCTGATAGCTGGCTAATTTCTCTCCTTGCTGCCTCGATCTTGGCCTCCAACCTCCTTCTCCATGGAGGATACTGCTCCTTATGGCCTTTGTTGAACTTATAGCCAAGCATCTCAGGGATCACGGTTGCTGTGGTGTATATGAGCCTGTTGGTCTCAGTGATGGTCATAGTAGGGATTGTTCTTAGGCATCCTGAGACTGTACACTAAGGAAGGAGGCCGAGGATTAGTGAGTGTCAGAGCCACTACCCAGGATGAAACAACAAAGATCCATGATTACATCAGGAAGATGGCCCTGAGTGATGACATGCTTAGTGAATACTTCAGGCAGCAGAAACCAGAGGAACAAGGGAAGGAAGAGCAGGAACCCTTATGGAAGGACAAACCTCTGCACGGTATGTACCACTGTCAAATAGAAGAAGTGGCTGATATCGAAAAATCCTACCAATGGCTGGACAAAGCTGGACTGAAAGACAGCACAGAGGCACTAATCCTGGCAGCACAAGAACAAGCTCTAAGTACAAGACCAATAGAGGTCAGGGTCTACCAGACAGAACCCCAGGTGCAGACTGTGGAAAAATGCCCCTGAGATAATCCAGCACATAACAGCGGGGTGCAAGATGCTAGCAGGCAGGGCATATTTGGAATGCCACAACCAAGTGGCTGGCATAGTGTACAGAAACATCTGTGCCAAGTACAGGCTA